CAAACATTCATATTTTCCGAAAATCACGAAAATCGGCTTCATCCGTAGTCCCAGCACCGTAAAGATGGAGTCTTGATGGATTATATTCCGAAAACACCCTCACCCAACATGTTTATAGCTCCTCCTCACAGCGCAGCTCAATGAGAATCCAACTCTTCTTTTCATGTCTTCTCTTGATACCTTTGCTCCATAGCCTACGCCTCGTTCGGGTCTCCGCACAATGTCTAGACGGCCAGCTGTCACTTTTGGTGCAGCTGAATAATAGCCTCGAATATAATCCTCTGTTCTCTACAAAGTTAATCACCTGGAGCCAATCCTTTGACTGCTGCAGCTGGGATGGGATAGTTTGTGACGAGCTGGGCCACGTCATCAGTTTGGACCTCGAAAACGAAAACATATCCGGCGGGCTCGATAACTCGACCGCCCTTTTCGAGCTTCGTTACCTAAAGAAGCTGAATTTAGCTTCCAACAGTTTGGTAGGTTGGAATATCCCGAAAGGGCTTCAAAATCTCACGGATTTGGTGTACCTGAATCTGTCCAACTCCGGTTTTGGCGGGCAGGTGCCAATCGAGCTTTCGAAACTGACGAATTTGATCGTTCTCGATCTTTCCAGCTTGTTTGTCATTTCCGAGCCTCTGAGACTCGAAAGCCCGGACTTGAGGACGCTCGTTCGGAATCTCACGGGGCTTAAAGAGCTCTATCTCGATGCAGTCAATATTTCGACTCAGAAGAACGACTGGGGCCGAGCTCTTTCGTCTTCTCTCCCGAACCTAACGACCTTGAGCCTGCGGAGTTGTGACCTATCGGGCCCACTCGATAGTGACGTTTTGAGGATGAGCTGGCTCTCGGTTATCCAGCTGGACAACAACAATCTGTCGACATCGGTGCCTGAATTTCTTGCGAGCTTCTCGAATTTGACGGTTTTGACGCTCAGCGGCTGCTCGTTAACCGGTTCCTTGCCGGAAGTTATTTTTCAGGTACCCACTCTACAAGTTTTGGATTTGTCCAACAATAATATGCTCGGTGGTACGATTCGACAGTTGGGACAAGGTAGTTTGTTAAGGACATTGGTTCTTACCAACACTAATTTGTCCGGTTCATTACCGGATAGCGTTGCGAATCTCAAAATGCTGTCCAAGATAGACGTTGCCAACTGCAAGTTTACCGGGAATATTCCGCCGGAAATGGCCAACTTGACGGAACTCGTTTACCTCGATTTCTCGAACAATGAGTTCACTGGTTTAATCCCGCCTTTTCGGAATTCCAAGAATCTTAGCTACGTTGACCTCAGCCGAAACCTTCTGACGGGCACGTTGTCCCACGCGCATTTCGAGGGACTTTCGAGTCTTGTGTATGTCGACTTAGGGTACAACTTACTCAACGGAAGCATCCCGAGTTCTCTCTTTAGCCTCCCTTTCTTGCAAAAACTTCAGCTTTCGAACAACAAATTCGGCGGCCGAGTAGATGAGTTTTCGACTTCAAATGCTACAAACTTGGATACTTTGGATTTAAGCAATAACGAGCTCACGAGCCCTATTCCAATGTCTCTCTTTGAACTCACACGACTTAGCGTGCTCTCGCTCGATTTCAACTTGTTCAACGGGACCATAAAGCTCGAAAATTTTCAAAGGCTCGGCAATCTTACAAGACTCGAGCTCGGTCACAACAACTTGACAGTAGATGCAAGCATTGGCAGTTGGGATCTCACGACGAGTTTGCCCCAGCTAAGCAGACTAAATCTTGCTTCGTGCAGTTTGTCGAGCTTCCCGGGCTTGATCAACCAATCCAAAATCACGTTTTTGGACCTCTCGAATAATTTCATCGAGGGGGAAATCCCTAGTTGGATTTGGAATGTGGGAAATGGAAGACTTTCCCATTTAAATCTTTCAAACAATCTTTTGCTCGATTTTCAAAGGCCGTTCTATATCTCCGGTTCTATAAGCGTGCTCGACTTGAGCTCGAACGAGCTCAGAGGCGAGCTCCCAATGCCACCACAATCGGCTTCCTACGTAGATTACTCAAACAACAGTTTTACAGGGACAATCCCACCCGATATAGGCAACTTCAGTTTATTCGCCATATTTTTATCTGTCGCAAATAATAACCTCACCGGACAAATCCCCGAGTCCCTTTGTCATTTGGCTTACCTTCAAGTTCTCGATTTATCCGGAAATCACTTGGACGGTAATATACCTTCGTGTTTGATAGAAAACCGAACTACTTCTCTCGGAGTGTTGAATTTGAGCAGAAACCGTATAAACGGGTTCATCCCCGACAAATTTTCAGTCGGCTGCAGTCTGAAAACTCTGGACATGAGCAGTAATAGCTTGGAGGGGAAGATTCCACGATCCTTGTCCAACTGCGCGTATTTAGAAGTTATAAACTTTGGAAACAATAGAATCGAAGATAGATTCCCTTGCATGCTGAAAAACTCTTCGAGCCTGCGTGTGCTCGTTTTGAGACATAATAAATTTTACGGGGACTTGAGATGTCCCGCGATAAACGGGAGCTGGCCGAATCTTCAGATTATCGACATTGCCTTTAATAAATTCTCCGGCGAGTTATATCCCAAATGCATCGCCAGCTGGAAAGGAATGACGCTCGAGAGCGGTACGGATTCGAATCAGTCGAACGAGAATGATCACCTACGGTTCGTTTTTCTCAAAATGAATCGATTTTATTACCAAGATACAGTCACGGTCACGATAAAAGGACTCGAGCTTGAGCTCGTCAAGATTTTGAAAGTTTTCACGGCCATCGATTTCTCGTGCAACAATTTCAGTGGGGAAATACCGAAGACGATCGGCGATCTGACTTCTCTTTACGTTCTCAACTTATCACACAATTCGCTTACTGGGAATATTCCGAGCTCGGTTGGGAATCTGAGTCAGCTAGGGTCGTTGGACCTCTCGGTCAACAGACTAACGGGGGAAATACCGAACGAGCTCGCGGGACTTAATTTTCTCTCGTTTGTGAACCTTTCGTACAACATGCTCGTGGGTCGAATCCCGAAAGGTCCCCAATTACAGACGTTTTCGGCTGAGAATTTTGTGGGAAATGCAGGGCTTTGCGGGTTACCTCTGAAAACGAGTTGTGGTTTAGTAAACGACACAGAGGAAAACAGAGGGCTGGGATTAAACAAGCATGGGTTCGACTGGCAGTTTATATTTACGGGCCTTGGGTTTGGGGTGGGTGCGTCGTTGGTTGTGGCCCCGCTCGTTTTCTGTAAGGTTTGGCGGGAAAAGTGCGAAGGGAAACTGGATCGGTTCTTGAAGGCGGTTTTTCCAGGGTACGGAGTGAGTTACGTTAGGTGTGACAGTAAAGTTGAGAACATTGAAGAGCGAACGAGTGATGATGATGATGATGATGATGACGATGATAAGGAAGAGGAAAATGATGAGGACAATGATGAATTCGGAGGAAAGTACTGCGTTTTCTGCACGAAAATGGACGTTCGGTTGAAACAAGCGGTGCATAATCCAAAGTGTACATGCCATTGTGCACCACCTATATTCTCTTCTTCTCCTCAAACTCAAGCTACATCATCATCATCTTCTTCTTTGTTGGTGATCTATTTTGACAACTGTTGAAATCTCTCTACTCTTTTTTTTTTTTCTTTTCTTCATTCTTTATGATACATATTTATAGATGTTTTTGAAATAATGTTTTTGAAATGCTTGTGTAAGTTGAGATTGATTATTTGGAATGTGTTCACAAATGTTGAGCTGGAGCTCGAGTCTTAATAGCTAAACACGAGTTTTAATTAGCCAAACTCTAGACAATTATATAAAGAAAAAACATCTTTTCGAGCCAGAGCTCGATTATACGAGTTTTAAACGAGCTCGAGCTTGACCTTAACGAGCCGGGCTCACTAACAAACTCGTTTTGATTGGCATTATTTTAGAGTTTGGAGAAGACCAATGACGAATGAGCAAACTAATTGTAGCACATTGAGCCAAAAGATAGATGCTGTTGAGCTGTCATTGAAACAGAAAGAAACAATAAACAAAATGCACAGAATAAATTCATATGAATGCTACAAGTTTTGACTTTTGAAGAACATAGGCAAAATTACATAAATTTAGGGGTGGCCAAGTCAAAGATTGTACCTTTCAAGAGAATAATAATTTGATAGCCTCTGATCATATGCATATATTTTTAGCTATATATGTATTTGTGATAGTTTAAATAAATAATTTCACTAAGAACAATGTCTATATTAATGGTATGTACAGTTTCAGATCATTATGTGCTATTGGGCTTTATTTTTCCTTATATTTGTTTCTTTTTAATACAAAAATACAAAATGTGAAAAAAAAAAAACTTTATAAAATTGGTGTACAATTAATTCTGCTGACTGTTGGTGTTAACTATTCAACCAAATAATCAATGGATACAAAATTAAATAAATATAAAAGATACAGAATATAACAAAAATACAATAAAGTTTCCGCATATCTTTCTTAAAAATAAATAGCAAAGATTATGATAAAATGGTCCCAGCGGGGCTCGAACCCGCGACCTTCGGCTCATAAGACCAACGCTCTAACCGACTGAGCTACGGGACCATTGACAAGCATTAGAATCAGAACTAACAAATATCGGTTTCTTTCGCCGTGGTTATTAGTCAACTCAATTAAAACATCCGGTTTCAAAAGTCAACGGAACACCTTCTGTTAAAGTTAGCATCCTGCAAAAATTTTAGTGAATTTATCAAGAAAGTTTGCTAATGAAGACGTTGAATCCAAGCCCAGGTAACTGTAGGAGAAATGGAGTAATCGGGCTGGGCCTGTTGCCCGATCAAGGCCCGAGTACTATCAACATCAAGCTCTCTCACGGGCTTAACCACTATGAAGTATTCGTGCCATTTAGCTCTAGTTTTGGTACTTTCTCTTTTTATCACCAACATATCAGTTGATTTATTCGTTTGATCTGTTTTGGCTTATGTTATCAGCCAAACTGTAGTTTGAGTTCTTGTTCGTTACTCTCGTGATCGAATTTTTTCGTGATTTTTCATTGGTCTCTGTTAGGACTATCAATCATCACGAGGGAGCTACATCATTTCTTGCTTTGACTAATCGTTAGGCTGGTTCACCCGTCACACTTTTTTTCAAAACAAAAATGCATACTTATAGCATGAAATGTCGTGTTTTGTCATATTGTTTTTATATAGTATAACATTTCAGCTTGAAGTATTGCATATTTGTTGAAAAAGTAGCTGCTACCCATCTATTTTCTTGAGTGTTGAATTTAAAGATCAAACTTTTTTGTGAGCTCAGAGATGCCCGATTACGTAGCAGGTTATCTCAAGTCCTTTGTTTGTCGACAAATTGGTTTGAGGCCCGAGAGGCACAAACTCTTGTTCAGAGGTAGTGAGAAAGAAGACGATGAGGATCTCCTGACTGCAGGTCTAACGGACTATTGTGAGGTGTTACTCGTGGAGGCTGAGGCATTTGAGAAAGCAAGCCATGAAGAAGTTGAGTCGAAAGGGGAAGAAGCTGTTTCTCAAGTTAGGAAAGAGGTCGACAAGCTCGACCAACAGGTTGATCTAATTTCGTATCTCATTCTTTTTCTTCTCGNTTTCGGTTATGTGGAAAATATTATGACTTCTTGGTTTATTATTTGATATCAGGTGTCATCTTTGCAAGCTCTTGTGAACCGTGGAATTAAGGTTGACGATAAGGAAATCATTTATTTGACCGAAATGCTAATGAGGCAATTGCTTATATTGGATGGCATTGAAGCTGAAGGAGAAGGGAGAGTCAAGAGAAAGATGGAGGTTAGTGTTCAATTGCGTATAGAAATTGAAATTCGAGCTTCTTTTCCGAGTAGATCAACCATTCTTGTTCTCTGGAAAGATAAGAAAGAACATTTATCTGTCTTTGACATCAGACTCATTGTTGCTTAAATTGCAGTACCATTTATTTATATATTATATATTTTTTGAACTTGACTTTACTTAGGTTCGTCGAGTCCAGAGCATCGTGGAGATACTGGATGCCTATAAGTTGAGAAATTTCAAACTTATTTAGCAGCATGCACAGATTCTCTGTAGACGCTCTGCAGTGTTAGATTCTTTCTCCTTTTTCGTCTTCTTCGATTAAATAGCTTCTTGCTTGGAACATTGTGGGTAATTAATTATATGCTTGGATTGTAGATTTTTTGTGAATCTTTTCATTTGTTTGGAACATAGTGGCTAATTATATGTTTGGATTGTAGCTTTTTTGTTAATCTTTTCATCTAGTAATTGCTTCTTCACGATCGTGATTAGAAAACAGAAAAAGAAGAGTACACAGACAGCTTTTACTGCAAACTAAGCATAATACAAGAATAAGGATACAAGAACTACACTTGTTTAAGTGGTAACAAACAAATCACACCAAAACAGCAGCTCACAAATCTATAGTGACCCCACGAGCCCCAGTGAAAATCCCGGGCGGTCGAGCCATCTCGTCAGCGGGGTTATGCCAGCCGTGCTTAGCCGCGTCAAACTTTTCACCGTCTCCCCACAATGCATACGCCTCCTCCCCGTGTACTGCATCGTCTCCGATCATCAGCTGATCCTCCGGCATTCTCAGCGGCATAAGTAGCCGGATTACGAGCAGAATCACGCTTGTTGCCACAAAGTTCCACCCGATGATGAAAAGTGCCGCCACAAGCTGCTTCACGAAGAGGATGCCTCCGCCATAAAAGGCGCCTCTCGTGTTTGTGACGGGAAGAAGCATACTGCAAAGGGTCGGGTGGGCAAATAGGCCGGTCAGGAGGCCGCCGAGGATTCCGGCAACCGCATGCGTATAGAACACGGCCAGCGTGTCATCGACCTATAGCATAAAAGGGCAAAATAGGTAGAATTGTATATTCCAAGATCATACATGAATTGGATGTTTAGTTTGCATATATCAAAATTAGTGTAAATAAATAGAGGTGCTCAGAAGTCCCTTTGATAAAATTGGAACGATACAGAGAAGAGGAGCATGACTCATACGCACGCATAAACAAAGGTGCTANGGAAATCACTAATTACGTAATGATAGGCACCTCACACAAGAATTTGTATCTTTCTTCATATTTTCTTCATCAATCGTATTTAGGTCATTTTCAAAAAAAGATTATTTCCAAAAGTTTGAATGGTAACTAGGAGGAGAATCAAGCAATTCAACAATAATGAAAAATGTTTAGAATTGAAGTGTAGACAAGTGGACTTGATGAGCAATATTTCTCATGAGAAAGTCCAAGCTCATCTATCACCATATCATGATATAATCAACAAACATAAGTGTACAATTAATGATAAATATGAATGAGTGCAATTGGAATAGTGAAAAGAACATTTAAAACTAAAAATACCTTCTGTAACAAAGTTGACTTTTTGTGAAGAATCATCATCGAGTACCATGGAATGCTCCCAGAAAGCACGCCGTATACTATAGCAGCCCACGATTGCACCACACCTATTGGTCAAACATTCACTTTCAATTAAATCCAATTTCAAAACCGGTAATGCTCATGGTACACTGTCTAATGATCATATTTTTCTTTTTTCAACAGAATAACATAATTTTGTACTTAAATATCACACTTTATATACTTATATAACAAAATCACGACATTTCATAAATAATTTATATTTTTATTAAAAAAATATGATTGTTTAATCATTACGCATTTTATGGTTGTGACTTCAAAACCAACCTTTCGAACCAATTTTGAATTTTGACTGGTTAGGTCAGTTGGCAACAACTAGTGCTGTTAAATTAAACGAGTCTGACTCGGCTCGGCTCGTTAAAACTCGAGTTCGGCCGTTGGGCTCATTTTAAAGCTCGTCTGGTTAACGAGCCAAGCTTGACTCGACTCTACTCGATAAAGCTTGAAAATAGAATTAATTTTTTATAGTTCGCCTCGTTAAGGCTCGAACTCGACTCATTATTAGTGATAAACAAGCCGAGCTCGAACTCAAGCTCGATTTCAGGCTCGTTAAGGGCTCGAGCTCGAGCTCGGGTCGTTTACAGGCCTAGCAACAACTTATGTATACTTGGAAAAAGGCTCGTTTTATCGACTAACCGTACCTGCACCAGGTGTGATGCAAGCGAGTCCGGTTATCATCCCTTGGACAGCCCCTATAACCGAGGGCTTCCCAAAGTAGAAAACATCGAGCGATGTCCAAACGAGAAGGCTTGTTGCTGCCGATATGTTTGTGTTTAGGATAGCTATGGAAGAAACTATGTTTGCAGCATAAGGTGCCCCGCCATTGAAGCCCGACCACCCCATCCACAGCAGCCCGGCCCCGGCAAGCATCAGCAGTATATTGTTTGGAACATATCTTTCCCGATCCGCTTTCAACCTCGGCCCAACCTGTAGCGAATTAACAGAATTTAATGAGTAAATTTTGAGGAAAACTACTTAGAAAGGATTAGAGAAATTAAAGAAAACAAAATAATTTATAATAATGTTGCAAGTACTTGTTTCCAGCTTCACTTGAGCATATAAGAAATTATGTAATGTCAAGATTTTCAAAGAACATTGGATTCAAATTAAACTAAAGAACACATTTTGCAGCTAACTAAAGGTCAAACTAAAGGGATGCTAGTAAGTTGTAAAAACGACTAAAAGAAAAAAGACTAAGCTCAATGGAAGTTCGATCTAGGGTTGTAAACAAGCTGATCCGAACTCAAGCTCATGGTAGTCAAACTTGAGCTCGAGCATTTAATGAGCCGAGTTGGGCTCAGCTCATTAACAAAACGAGTCAGCTTGATCTTGACTCGTTTATCACCAAAAGAGTTGCGCTCAAGTCTTAATATGCTGAATGATAAAAAGATATATATTATTAATTCTGTACTTTAACGAGCTGAGCTCGATTCGTTATCCTAATCAGCTCGTTTATTAAATGAACAAACGAGCCAGGCCGAGCTCATAAGCGGCTCATTTCAATTAATAACTATATTAATCCTATTAACGGGCGTGTGTGTTGGTGTCACAGAAAAAAATACAGGCCATACCGCCATAGGAATGAATTTTCCGGTCAAGGGTAATTTCGTCAAGAAAGTAAGTGAAAAGGAAAAAATATAGTAATAAAAAAAACATAGTACCCAATAGGCAGCCGTGAAACCAGAAATCCCCGACGAGAGGTGAATGACGTAGCCGCCGGAATAATCGATGACACCCCAGTGGTACAAAAACCCGCCGCCCCATAAGCTGTACGCGCCGACCGTGTAGCAGAAGATCAGCCACAGCGGCACAAACGCCATCCACGCCTTGATGTTCATCCTCCCCAGCACCGACCCAGCCAGCAGGATTGTCGTGATCGCCGCGAACGTGTACTGGAAATACACCAGCGTCGCCATCGGGAAGTACGGCCGGTTCATCCTCGTCTCCACCGTCCCGTTCGAGTAGTAGTGCGTGCTCTCCGGCACGGCGGCGCGCCTCGTCAGGTACCTGCGCGGGTCCAATTTCTTAATTAGGTTTCAAATTTCGAGAAATTGACGATTTACTGATGTTTTTGCAGTACTTTTGCTCGAGGGCAAGAGCGCCTTCGCCCCAGAAGGGGAGGAGCTCATCGCCGAAGGCGATGCGGTAGCCGACGAGGACCCAGCAGATGAGGACGGCGGCGAAGGCGTAGAGCGCCATGAAGGCGGAGTTGACGGCCCACTTCTTCTTGACGATGCTGGCGTAGAGGATGACGAGGCCCGGCATGGACTGGAGGCCGACGAGCGTCGCCGCCGTCATCTGCCACGCGTTGTCGCCCTTGTTCAGCCAGTCGGGGACCGCTGGCAGGCGCTCCTGGTAGGCCCCGGAAGTTGAACTCGGCATGTCGTTTTCCCTTTTTCCTTATCCGATGAGCTCCAGGTGTTGGAATTTTGTGAATTTTGATGTAAATCGCTTTCTGAAGAATGAAACGCAAGTGTTTGATAGAAGGCTTGAGTGGGAAAAAAGGTCGTAATTCACGGCGGATCCGAAAGTCGTCGCTGGTCAAATCTGTGGAGTCTACGCGCGGCCGCGTGTGGTGGGTAGGGAGTGGGATGGAAGGTTCATGTGAAAATGATATGTTTATTTTCTCTTTTTTCTTTATGTCTGTGCGTAATTATATTATATTATGTTTATAACATTNTACTTTTGGCAGTGAATTGGGTCCATTGCTATTGGTTTTATTAAGGGTGGTTAGCTCGAGCTCGGATCCCTTAACTTATTGAGTTCAACTGGGCTTGTTGAACAAACGAGTCAAAAATTGAGCCCGAATTTGATTCGTTTATCAATATTAACGAGACGAGTTCGAGTCGATCTCAAATTTTAACGAATCGAATAATAGAAAATTACATAAAAAAATCTCTTTTCCGCGTCTTAACTTGTTGAGCAGAGCACGACTTGTTAACGGAACAAGTTTTAATAGAGTTCGAGCTCGACTCTTAAGGGATTGAGCTGAGCTTACGAACAACTCGTTTCTTTAACAGCTATCCATTTTATATTATTTAACTTTGGCATAATTTTGTTTGTTGATTAGTGATGACTTGTATAAGCTATTTTAATAATTGATTGTATTATATGTTTTGACTAATGGATTTGGTAAATAATTAATAGTGGATAACAGAGTTCTAATTAAAAATTACTAATAAAGATAGTAAATAATATTTTTGTTAGATTTATTTGTTTATAAGTTTAAACATTACTAAATAGTTAACTAATATATTTATTATAATTTAAATATTTATGATTGATAATAAATATAATTACTAGTAAAAGTATATACTACTATATTATGTATATAAAATTCAATCTTTCTCTTCATAAAAAACTTTTATTTGGAGATTTTTCAAAGTTAGTTTTTGAAACAAAATATATATATATATATATATATATATATATATATATTTAAAAGTTTTCAGTAAATATGTAGAAGAGAGGATATGACTAGTTGAGCCTGTTAAAAATATCACCACCGACATTAGTAATGTTCTAGAAAAGTGGAGAAACTAAGTTTACATATTAATTAATTACATCTAGCCTAAGCACTGTACTAACCGACATACTAGAATGCTCCAAAGACAAGTATAAATATATGTATAGCTAATGACTTGTGTGAGTGTGCTGTGAGTGATCAAAATAAAAAAGTGAGTAGCAAGTGTTGTGCGTAGCAAGTGAATTGAGAGAGTGAAATTTTTTGAGTGCTATTGTGAGGTGTGAGTGTTATATGTGTAAATTACATTTTTTGTAAAATATAAAAAATTATTTTGATTACTATTCTTGTGAGTCTAGTTTCAACACGTGGTATGAAGACGGCAGCCCACGTAATAAATCGGCTACCACAAGCAAAGCTGGGATTCATGTCACCATTCGAAAAGCTATGGAAAATCAAACCAACTGTTAGCCACTTCAGAGTCTTCGGGTGTGTCTGTTACGTGTTCGTACCAAGTCACTTACGGAGCAAATTTGACAAGAAGGCAATCAGATGCATATTCTTGGGATATGACAGCCAAAGAAAAGGGTGGAGATGCTGCGATCCATCAACCGGTCGGTGTTACACATCACGCAACGTGATATTTGATGAAGCATCCTCTTGGTGGACACCGCAGAAGTTGGAGCTACCAGATTCAAAAGAAATCGAGGATAAGCTCCAGAAATGGGTGAAGCTTCCAGAAGCAACCCAAAGAATGGAAGAATCAGACGAGGAAGGGGAGTCGCCAAGAACTCAATGTCCGTGGCAGACCGGTGTACATGAAGTAACTCCAGAAGTGATGAGGCCAACTCAACTCGAGGAGATTGAGCCACCAGGAGAGGAAGCAGGTGAAGTACCGGCAAGTCCACAACAACTACGGAGATCTTTAAGGCAAAAGAGGCCAAATCCCAGGTACGCCAATATAGCCTTAGAAGAAGATACAAGTATAAAGGAGCCACAAATATTTGAAGAAGCAATTAAACACACAGAATGGACAAAAGCAATGAATGAGGAGATTATGGCTCTAAGGCAGAATGAAACATGGGACTTAGTACCCAAACCGGATGGAGTTAAACCCATATCTTGTAAATGGGTTTATAAAATAAAAAGGCGGCCGGACGGATCAATAGAAAGATATAAAGCTCGACTAGTTGCACGAGGGTTCTCACAACAGTACGGGCTAGACTATGACGAGACATTTAGTCCAGTGGCGAAAATCACAACAGTTCGAGGATTGATTGCACTGGCAACAAGTAAGTCCTGGAAGTTATGGCAGATGGACGTGAAGAATGCATTTCTACATGGAGAGCTCGACAGAGAAATATACATGGTCCAACCTGCGGGGTTCGAGGACAAGGAGAATCCAGGCTACGTGTGCAAACTAAAGAAGGCCCTATACGGGTTAAAGCAGGCGCCACGAGCATGGTACGGTAAGATCGCTGAATTCTTAATTCAGTGTGGATACTCTGTTACACCAGCAGACTCGAACCTCTTCGTCAAGAAACGAGAAAGAAAACTAGCAATAGTGCTAGTATATGTGGATGATATCATCATTACTGGAGACGATGAAGAAGAAATCCGACAAACTAGGAGGAATTTATTGGTGAGATTCCAAATGAAAGAACTTGGAGAACTTAAGCATTTTTTGGGGCTTGAGCTAAAAGAAAAAGGCAACGGTCTTTTATTGTGTCAGTCAAAATATGCTAAAGATCTATTGAGGAAATTTGGCATGATTGACTGCAAGCCTTTATCGACTCCAATTGAAGCAAACGCCAAGATATGTGCTCAAGATGGCAAAGACTTGGAGGATGCAACTATGTACAGGCAGCTAGTCGGAAGTCTAATTTACCTAACCTTAACACGGCCAGACATTTCATATGCAGTGGGGATCGCAAGCCGATTCATGGAAAAACCAAAGAAGCCACACCTCGAGTTAGTCCGACGCATACTAAGGTATGTAAAAGGATCAATTGATTATGGACTTTTCTATCAAAAGAATAAAGATTTCAAAATTGATGGGTACTGCGACGCGGACTATGTTGGATGTCGTGATACGAGAAGGTCCACTACTGGGTATGTGTTCAAGTTTGGAGCGGCCGCAATATCATGGTATAGCAAGAGACAACCGACAGTGTCCCTATCAACAGCAGAGGCCGAGTACCGAGCAGCAGCAATGGCAGCCCAAGAAAGCACATGGCTTATGCAACTATTAAAGGATCTACATCAGCCATTTAGCTACGCGGTACAACTATACTGTGATAATCAATCCGCTATACGCATAGCAGAAAATCCCGTATGCCACGCGAGAACAAAACATGTCGAAGTTCACTATCACTTCGTTAGAGAAAAAGTGCTCAAAGGGGAGATAGAAATGAAGCACGTTGGTACGGAAGACCAAGTAGCCGACGTGTTTACCAAAGGGCTCAATTTTTCAAAATTCGAAGAGTTCCGAATACGTCTTGGAATAGTTCGAGAAGAAGACTTAACTCGAGAGAAAGTCGGTGTTGAGGGGGAGTGTTAAAAATATCACCACCGACATTAGGAATGTTCTAGGAAAGTGGAGAAACTAAGTTTACATATTAATTAATTACATCTAGCCTAAGCACTGTACTAACCGACATACTAGAATGCTCCAAAGACAAGTATAAATATATGTATAGCTAATGACTTGTGTGAGTGTGCTGTGAGTGATCAAAATAAAAAAGTGAGTAGCAAGTGTTGTGCGTAGCAAGTGAATTGAGAGAGTGAAATTTTTTGAGTGCTATTGTGAGGTGTGAGTGTTATATGTGTAAATTACATTTTTTGTAAAATATAAAAAATTATTTTGATTACTATTCTTGTGAGTCTAGTTTCAACAGAGCCTTCTTCAATTCAAACCTCTAATTATAGCAACAATAATCCCCTATTTCTCCTTGAGAATTGATAAATTTTGAGTAATTGTAGGAGAAAAATGGAGGGGCATTTATGTTATTTTCATAGGAAACTCAAGTGGCCAATGGCCATTGATTGGTTAGCTGATCCCTCAAATGAAAATAGAATCTGAGTCTTATATTCAGGTGGCGAGCATAAAACCATGTTTGGCCCAGCTAATCCAAACAAAGTAAACGCAGCCACCAATAATCAGAATAAAAAATAGATATATAATTTCAGAAAATTCTCAAACTATTTATACAAAATAAATACCATTATATGCTTCCCAGTCCTCTTGGAATTCTCTTCTTAGTGCAAAAGGGTAAGTGGTATAAGCTGAAGTAGTTAGTAATCATGAGGTGAAACAATAAGTGGTAGAACAAAAAATATTTAATAATCATATAATTATGTACATGAAAATATCTCATTCATTGTATTTCGCTGAAAACCTAACAGATACCTGATAATATTTCGCTGAAAACCTAACAGATAAAGAACCAAGTGAAATTGTGACTTACAGCAAATAGTTTATAACTGAGTCACTGACTGAGAAACTAAAAGATAATGTTAGATAAATATAGCTGGAAAATTAGGAGTGGGCGCGGTCTGAGTCGGTATGAGATTTGACCTGTCCCGTCTTTTGTGAACCGATTTGGGATGAGACACCGTCCCAAATGGATCGGTATGATTCGGGACTTAGACAAAACGGAACAAAAAAATAAACTCAACCAGAGAGTACTCATTTCACTAAAACAAACAATCAACATTCTGATTCCATTAAATAAGCAACTTATTTAGTTAAGTTACTAGTACAATACTCGTGTCCTACACGGGTACTTAAATATGTAAAATAAAAATTAAAATAATTTACATTTTTACATGATAGATATACATCAATAATAACTAACTAACAAAATGATAATTAATTCCAATGGTTCCCCTTTTTTTACACTAAATTTGTCAAAAAAACATATTTTTAATTATATTTTTAAAATTATATATGTATAAAACCGATATTATTTGCAACTCCATATATTTGATTTTTTTTTAAATAAAACAAGTTTTATTGTATTGTGATTATATTTCATATTTATAGAGCCAGTGTCTCACGTCTATTAATTTTTCAAGTATTTTGAATTCATATAATTTATAAGTTAGAATTTACGTAGAAATGTATTATTCTCTTACCTTAAGAAATACAAATTATTTTATTATATATAATTATGATATTCTCTTATTTTACTATTTTAAATAACATAATAACATTCAGTTTTTTATAATATATTTAAATTTAGAAATAATATTTTATAATAATTCTTAAATTAATTTTTTGTATTACTTAATTTTTATTTTTTCCAAATTTTATGGAAAAAACAATAAAATAATTATTTTATAGTGTATTAATGAATTAGATTTTTATTATTTTTATAAAATAATTTATATTGTTATTTGATGTAATTTAAATTGAGTTGATAATAAAATTAATTTTATTTATAAATATAGATGAAATTATTATTTATTTTATACAATATGAATGTCAAATCGAAGATCGTTAAAATATGATTTTTTTGGTAGATCATATATAAAAAATAAAATACAAATAAAAAATTTAAAAATAAAAAAAAATTTAGGACACATATTGAGCTACATCTATTTTCTTTGAATGCCACATATTGAGCTACATCTATATTTTTTCTTGTCCTTACTTGAGCATTTAGGACTATATTATGTGAAGAGGATGAGTGTATTGTTTGTGGTGTGGATAAAGGGAAGACGTGAATGGGAGTGTAAGTTGATGAGGGAAGTTGAATGAGGTTGATAGAGTAAAAAAAAAAAAGAGAATATCGAAAGAAAAAAAGGCTGAAAAAAAATAAAAATAAAAAACTGAAAAAAAAAAAGAAAAAAAGAGAAAAAATGTTTGTATAATTGTTTCTATTTTATTATTGACTTAAATAAAAGACGATTGGGTTTGATTGTTGGATTCTCTTATATGGCTTGCGAGTATTGATCGAAATGGGGTATGGAATGATTTTGTTGGGTTTGAGTATGATTGGTAGGTGATGATTATGTTTAGTTCATGTTTTGTAGTTTAGATGCTCGAGTTTTCGTCACTTTATCCATATATTTCCTACCCTAACCAAAGAGCCTACATTACAACCGAATGAAAGTCCTTTTTGATTCACGAATTGCATGCACAATGAGTGGTGGAGATATTTGACGATTTGCAAGCTTATGGTAATTCTTCAACATTGAATTGATTTGAGCGAGTATTCCCTTATACACTATTGAGAGTGAGAGTATACACTTATCCGGTGAGGTTTGTGAATTAAAGTATTGACCATGATTTTGATGAAGCATTCTTTATGTTTAAAAATTCCGGAACTTGGTTATGTTATTTGCCCGATGCATATTGAGAATGTGTATGATTGACTTTGAGAGTTGTGATTGTCTTTTCGTGTGTGTGTTGGTAGGAGTTTGATGCATCGATCGGGACTATCAATGGTTTAAGTTTGGGGGTCTGTTCATGTGTGATTTTACACCATATTTATGTAGTATCTAGAGCTTATTCATTGCATTATTGGTGTATAAATTGCATTATTGTGCTATAATTCTATATCTTGTTGGAAAGGTATTACACGTGCTTGTTTTGTAGATATTTTCACATATTTGTAGAGCTTGTGGCTATTGGAGCCGCATTGTGAGTACCTAAGACCCCCAGGATGATGATAGATTGATGCACGGATGAGAAAAATGGAAGAAACGAGTGAAACGGACAAAAACGAGCAAGCAGGATTGTGACACGGGCAGTGACACGGGCACCATGCCCGTGTCAGAGGCTGTGTCACCTCAACAGAGACAATTCGTAACCTGGGAGTTGACACGGGCTGCGACACGGACCGTGACATGGGCAGAATAGCCGTGTCGCGCGCGCAGGCTGTTTTTTATATCTTACCTATTTTGAAAAGGAGAAGGGTTTTGGACATTATAAAAGGCATATTTACCCTATTTTGAGAGGAGAAACATGGAATACACATTAGAGAGGCCCTAGAACACACAAGGGAAGCAATTGGGAAGCAAAAGAAGATCAACCACAAAGGGATCAAGGAGATTGAAAGATCAACGAGATTCCTAGTTTTTCTTTCTTCTTTCCTTTTGAACTTTTATTGATCATGTCGATTTCTAATATGTCTATGTATTTGAATTCGAACATGAGTGGCTAGTTTATTTGATTCTAAGACTTGGTAGTAGATTAATATGTTGGAATTTTGGATGAATTATTATAATTGATTGTTTTTCTTTTGAACCCTATTCAAATATTTTGTTCTTGTTTCATGTTTAGCACTTGATCAATGCTTTTACATGTTTGACAATATTGTTCATAATTCGAGAGATGAGTTCAATATTAGGTCTTAAATATTTGACACAATTTACTTGCTTGAATCGAGAGATTAGTAGGTCGTTGTGAGGATATTAGATCTTTTAATCTATTTGGAGTTGAATTGCATGTGTTGATTGGAGACGCTAATATATGTGATTTAATCTACGGTTTTATCGATCTTGAGAGGGACGATAGGCTAAATTTGTGATCATCTTATAGGGAAGATAAAGAAAACATTGGTTGTGATATTTCTGAAGGAACTCAACTATTAATTGAAGCCAAAGTCTTAGAATCTATCGTTCTCATACATTTTCTTACGTGTTTTTCTAGCTTTTCTTCTTGTTGCTTTATTTCTCTTTAATTATATTTTCTTAGTTTAGCTAATCCATCTCATATTCGGTCGTCTAAATAAAGTTGACACTATCATAATCTGGTACTTGATATATTAATTATTTGGTCTCTTGGGATACGACCTTGCTTGCCACATACTACGAGTGAAGCCGTACACTTGCGGTCGAGCTTTAAAAATATAGGCGAACACCTAGTTAAATGAATCTTCCATTTTTCTAGTTTGTTAGATTATGTATATATTTCACATGTGCATGATTTCGGTAATATTTTAGGTATCTTTTCTTAATTAAAGTTATGTATGTATCTTGGAAATTATTTATTATATAAAATTTAACCCTCAACTAAGTTATCATGTTTTACCAAGATTTATCGTTTTGTTAAAAGATAGGTAAACAAATAGTTGAGAATATTTAGATCTTTTATAAGTATTTATTATGCTGTTTTTGTTGCATAATTTTTTGTTTAAATAAATTTTATATATTAAAATCATTAAATATGATTACGATTTTGTCATCAAAAGTATATTAAAAATAAGTACGTTATTCAAAACAAAAATTCAATATCATTTCAAAACATTGTTGTTTGGGTTACTGTTGAGTTGATTTTTTAGAGATATGGAAGAAAACAGTTTGGGAGATATGTGGAAGAAACAAAATTCTTGAAGAATAATAGTGTGAATATTGTGGTTGATTTTTAAGAGATTTGGAATGTTTTATTCATTTCATTGTATTAAATGAATAAAATAATAAATGAGTACTAGTGTATTACTAATTTGACATTAAAAATATGTCAAATAAAGAGGTTTTTAGGTAAATATTAGTTATTAATAAAAAAATATAAGATGGGATATATATTATGTTATTACTAATTTGCCATTTAAAATATACCAAAGTAAAGGTATATTAGTTAGTTCTTTCTTTTACAAAAACACTCGTCCTTTTATAGTAGTATTCTGAGTTACCATTTTAGTTAGCACAACATTTAGACATAGAATATAATAAAACATTTGGACTAAATATTGTATAAGATTATTTTGTAGATATTGTTTATAAGAACCAATTTGTTTTGGTAGACTTCTGTGGAAGAGTTATTTTTTTCCAACAGCTACTTAGCTAAGAGATCATAACAATTTCTTCAAAGACCACCTCAATCTCCATCATTTTTAGTAAAATTTAGAATTATTTGAGTCATATTTTGGGCGTGGATCATAATAGTCTTCAATGTTACGCTGTTATTTATTTAATTAAATATTAGTGATTAACTAAAAAATATAAGATTTGAAGAGTATTAGTGTATTACTAATTTACCATTAAAATTAAGTCAAAGTAAGGTTTTTTTAGGTAGTTCATTTGTTAATTAAAAATATAAAATAAGACGGGTATTACTGAATTGCTGATTTGTCATTAAATATATGTCAAAGTAAGGGTTTTTTAGGCAAATCATTATTTTTACAAAATCAGTCGTCCTTTTATAATAGTATAGATAGATAGATAGATAGATAGATAGATATAGATATAGATAGATAGATAGATAGAAAATAGACGTAACTTATAAGCCTAGTGTGCTACTCCTCCCATCACCAATTGATTTTGGGATGAAATCTGGTGCATCTAGACTCACTGCGCCTAGGTGCACGTTAGTGAGGTTCCATCCCAAAATTAAAGCAAATGCGGAGACAACTCACAATTGATTTTCTAATAACTAATATGATTTGCACTAGAATTCTGATTATGTCAGCTCAATTATTTTCCTTTTCTTTCTGCATGCATTTTTTGTGGCAAGTGAATGGTATTTTTACTATTTTTCCCTTTTTCAGTTTTGATGGATGATCATAGGGAAAGTGAAGCAATTTCAGAGCTCACGAAAGCCATCCTTCAGACCGGACTTACAGCGGCTCCATCTCCGTGCCGCGTTCCATGATTCTATGGGAGATTATTCTTCTGCCCTTCGAGAGAGTGAGGCAGCACTTTGTCTCGATCCTAATCATTCGGACACGATACAACTCTATCGAAAAGCAGAAAAAAGGGCTAGCGAACAACAACACAAGTGACGAGATCGTGAAAAGAGATTTTTCATTACTTTTGGTGGATGCCTTGTCGTAATTCTTGTTGTTTCTACAGCACGACTCGAGGAGCAAGGGCTTTTTTCTTTTTACGGTTACGAGCTTTGAGTAGAGCTTCTGAGCTTGGATCGACTCTCTCGTGATCACATTTGTTATAGATGTAGATAATTGATGAGCTCAATAACCTTTTGAGCAATTATTGTATATATTATGTGATACAATGTTTCTGTTTCACAGGAATTAGCACAAGGAAGTGCTTAATGTGCATTTAGTTGGAGCTTGTTATCCAAATCTGTGTCATTTGCTGTTGCTTTGTAATGTGGTTGGCAGATTTTTCTCGAATGCCATTGATATATTCTCGTCGGCTGCTGAGAACTGCATAAATGAAACACAGCATGCCTTCTTTAAAGCCTGTCCTAATGCTTGAGGGAGATAATTACCAAACCTAAGATTTTGTCTATACTTGATACTTTTCTGACCATATACACAGTATTTCTATTTATCTTGAAACTAGAAATCTCAGTAAAAAAAAAAAAGAAAAAGAAAAAACTACACTGGATGGTATAAAATTTTTTCTTCCATCACTAACGGTTTTCAACAAGTTTTCTTTGACCTCATAATGGGTTAAAAAAATTAGTATTCCCATATAAGTGGACAGGACATTTCAAGAGAAGTTCCGTATATACAGAAAGTCCAAAACGTTGGATGCTTGGAGCCATTTGACTTAAAAAAAAAAAAAGTAAGAGCTGTGTTGATCTAAATGGTGAAAAATCCATTTACTGCATTGCAGTTGATGTGTTGATCGAACGTCAAAGGGAGACTTTTCAACCTAGCGACGAAAATATCAACCAACACTTTTAACTCTCAAACCATAACAACAACTACTTTTAAACAGAGAAAGAAAAGTCAACCAAAGCCTGAATCAGATTTTCCCAACCAAATATGGAAAAAATTCACTCATTCAAAGTTCCAAGAAAAAAAGGGTAAACTATATGTTAATTCAATCAGTAGAAACAATTTGAATCCAATAAAGTATATCACGTCACTACAACTCATTAAAAGAATCTACACATTTGAAGAAAGAAGAGTAAAATTTTGATTTTTTTTTTTTAACTAAATGTTCCAGCCTAAATCTCATCATCATCATCACCTCCCCGAATCAAAGGAAGCACTAGACATTGCACCTACCGAACACGACCTAAACGACACCGTTGTAGCTGAAGTCAACACAACACTATCGGTCAACCCTAATGCCAAAAACCTCGACGTGATCTCATCAACCCTCCTCGAGGCAGCCGAGCTCAACTTCTCGAACAACGGCAAAGCCTCGTCCCCGTTGAGATACTTCACCACCTCCCTCATGTTGGGCCTCTTTTCGGGCCGGGCATGCGAACAAAGCAGGCCGAGGCCCAAAACCAGCTCCATCTCCTCCACACAGTAATCGGAACCCAACCTAACATCGACCGCACCAAATAAATCCCCCCTGTTCACGCATTCCGCGACCCAATCCACCAGAATCACGTTCCTATCGGCCTCGTACACGACGGGCCCACGCCCGCACGCCACCTCGAGCAGCAAGATACCGTACGCAAAGACGTCCGTGCCCTTGGATGCTTTGCCCGTTCGGGTGAGCTCGGGAGCTATGTACCCGATCGTCCCGACTACGTTTGTGGTGTGGGCCGTTTTCTCGTGATCGTACAATCGGGCCAGCCCGAAGTCCCCGAGCTTGGGGTTCATGTCCCGGTCGATCAAAACATTGCTTGACTTCACGTCGCGGTGGATCACGACTTTCTCCCACTCCTCGTGGAGGTACACAAGTCCCGAGGCAACCCCTTTGACTATATTGAACCTCTGTTCCCAAGTTAGAGTTGGGCGGATGTTTTTGGAGCCGTAGAGTAACGAGTCGAGGCTTCCGTTCGGAACGTAGTCGTAGACCAAAAGGAGGTCATTCTTGTACTTGCACCAGCCTTGAAGGTTGACCAAGTTCTTGTGCCTCAGCCGGCCGAGGCTCTCGATTTCGGCCACAAACTCCTTCATCCCCTGCAGTTCGTTGTTCGATTTGATTCTCTTGACGGCGATTTCGCTTCCGGTGGACGGCAAAACCCCCTTGTAGACGGACCCGAATCCTCCGGACCCGATTTTCGCGCTCTCCTTGAAGCCCCCGGTTGCCTTGTGGAGGTCCGCGTGGCGGAACCTATGCGGGCTCTCGAGCTCCCAATCCTCGAGCACCTCGAAACTCATGATGAACTTGCGGTAGAATAATGTGCCGACGAGTATAGCCATAAGGATGAAGAGCACGACCGAGAGAGTGGCTATGAGGGCCGTTCTCACGATGCCTTTTGAGGAAGAGAAGTTGTCGGACGGTACGACCGGGAGGTGACCGAGGTCGAGCGGGCCCGCGGGCCCATTTAGCCGGAAGCTCCACCCGAGGATGTAATGTGAGCTCGACTTTTCTCCCGTGGAAGCCGAGAACCCGACGTACATCTGCTCCGTCACGACGGAGGACAAGTCGATGGGTTCGGAGATGAGGGGTTGGATCGGTTTGGGGACATTGAGGGGCGAAATGGTGAGGTTGATGGTGTTGGTAGACCCGTTGTAGTCGATCCAAGCTTGGATCGGGCCGGCCCGCTCCAAGTTGAACTCCTCCGTACGGGCTTGGGTGCCGTCGACGTAATACTGTGCGGAGCTCGAATAGGTCGAGTTCATGCCGTTGACGTTGATGCCTACGTGGTTGCCTTCCGAGTCGGAGCCCTCGTTGTAGCCGTTGACCGTGTCGAACTCGACAACGAAGATGTGGTTAGACGGGTCTCGGTCATTAGACGGGTTGAACACGCCGAGGAGGTGGCCGGGGGACGGGTCGTCGAACTCCGGGCGGGGGGAGAGGACGAACGCGAAGCCGTAGCCTCCGTTGTTTGGGCGAGATGGAGATATTTGGAATACAAAGTAAGTGCTAAATGATGAGACGTTGTTGTTGTTGCTGTTGCTGATGCTGGTAAACATGGGGATTGGTGTAGGGTAAAACGCGTGGCCTATGATGTTTTGTGATTTGTTGGTGAGGCGAAGGGCACCGCTCGGTTTGAGCACGGTGGCTCCGGTTAGGACGAGGTTTGAGGAGTTGAAGCCGTTGTACGAGAATTCCAAGGGTTGAGATAGGGAGAGGGAGAAGAGAGTAGAGAGAGAGAGTAATATTGTTATAGGAGTAATGAGGAGGAGGAGTTTGGGAGTGTTAGCCATGCTTATGGTGTTCATATGAGATCAACATATATAATTTAAAGGATTGATGTTTAAGGAAAGTATATATAAAAATGTTACAAGGAAATGGGGGAGTTAGTTATTATTGCTAAGAGGAGTAGTGGTGCTGAGAGAAAAGAAAGACCTTGACCAATAGGAATGGAAAATTGGAAGGGAAGAATAATTCCAAAGAGTTTGAACGACGCGTGAGGACGTTTGCAGTGGCATTAGAATAAGGGCAATGGGTTTTGGAGCTACTGATGTCGCCGTCGTTTGCGAATGAAAGCACTTGCTATCTGATTTTTTAGATCAAACTTTGAATAGTTCATCACTTGAGAATGTAGGTAGTTGTATATTTTGCGTGGGCTAAAGAATTTATATATCTTTTTGAGTTTCAAAATAACTTGCTTTATAAAATCTTAAGATTCTTTATTTTGATGTTACTATTGTTGGATAACTAGATGAGAGTTAAAACTCTTTACTTTACTGTAAACTAGTATAACGATAACATTTGTTTGATCAACGGTTGTTCACTATGACCTTGTTTAATGATCAACTTTAACAAAGTTAAAGGTTTGTGGGGGAATTAAAGGTTTCATCCATGACAACTTTTAATTTTATTGTTTTGTCAGTGACAATTTGATTGATAAGTAGCGATTCGAAATAATATTTTGTATCATTCAAAAAAGCTTAATTAATATATGAGCATTTTTGGGATTAGGAGTAGAGCTAGGATGGTTATTTTGTACATATCAAATAGTTGTTTAACAAACAATTATACATATAAGCTAATTCAATGCACTAATCAAAACGTACTGTTAATCCAATTAGATATCCACTATTCACCTAATTAAACCATCAACTATATCAAGTATTGAGTTTTAGACCTTTTCGTTTTTCATTGGATACACCAATAATCTTTAGGTTCGAATTGAAAAAATTGAAACGTCATTTAGTTCTATCCTGATCGTGTTCGCATATTTAACTCCAGGCTAAATTGTCGTGGTATCTTGTCAAAACTTTAATTTTCATATAATAATTTTTCCTTTCCAAGTTTTTTAAGATGATATAGCCAGTTAGATCAGCTTGGTTAGTGGTTAAGAATCTGATCTTCTAAAAGATCGGTTCAAATTTCAGATCGGATGGGTGAACATAGAGTCAGTTTGAACTTGTTTACCGAAGAGGTTTGATTTGAACTAAGATAATCTATTTATGTGTAAATAGAACTTCTATAAAACCTTAATTACAATCATTATCATTGTGCAATAACATAGAGATTTTTTTTTTTTTTTCTTTTCTTTTCATACATAAACTGATTTGAGTATTAGAGTTTGTACGGGAGCAAGAAGCGGATTTGTGAGGTGAAGACGATGCATCACTGTATATATATAATTTAAATTTGACCATTAAAAGAAGAATTGAAAGTTATATTATCAAAATAGCCCCATCAACCACATATAACTAACTATCATTCGATAGTCCTATTTTAATGCTATGATTTTTATGTTTTATTTCATACATATGCTAAATGCCAAGCTTATCTTGATCAGGTCATATCATTCATAGTATGGTTCTCGCCACATTTAATTCCACGTGGTCATATTGGCCTCTTTAGTTAGTACCGCGTACCCAGTCAACATGCCACGTAACATTTAACCAGATGATGCTTTATAATTAATCATCTTTCACGTTGTAATCAGAGTAGTTTAGAATGATTGATAAATTAATTAATCATTATTATAGTTTTATGCTCGAGCCATTATTCTATAATCAATGAAATAAGTACCAATAGTAATACTAATAATGGAAATATTGGGAAGTAACTACTTTGGCACTAGAACGGGTCATAATATTCTTCCCCCTAATTATGTTTTATTTAATAATAATAATAATAATAATAATAATAATAATAATAATAATAATAATAATAATAATATTTATTCCTTGTGGAAAATATGGAAACCTCAAATATGTGTCAACGCGTGGCGTGATGAAGAGTCCCGTGCATGGAGGAATTCTAATTTTTTTTCGTCCACAGGCTTTATTTTTTGATGGGTGACATGGGTCCACTAACCAGTTCGAGAAACCAAGTCTTTTTTTTTTTTTAACAGAAGAAACCAAGTCAAGAGGGTAGATAATTAAATTAGTTGGCCTTAAATTTAGTTCACGGGGCTCTGAATTAAAAAAGTCGTACATTAATTAGTTTATGCATGCTTAGTTTACTATAGAGTATATTTCATTATGTGTTTTTGGCTTCACCATTCTTCAGGTTGGATTTATATTTGATAGTAAGTTTGTGTTGACATCCATTATAATACATATATATATCAGACATTGTACTATATTTTTTATTTCGGATATATAACATTGCTATCATTTATTAAAAAAAAAAAGTTGCTAACTAGTAACTATAACATTCTCGTGATAATGAATGCCACAAATCTTGTTATAATTCTCATTTTATCAGATTAATAATTGACGATCGTGAATTTCACGTTCCTATTATATAAAATAAAATTTAATTATCAATCATAATTGAATTATAACATTATTATCAATCCTAATTAAAAATTATTTTATTATCACTCCTTGATATGTAGTTTTATACAATATGAATGAAAAGTATTATTATTGGAGGAAAATGTTGAGTACGGAACCATTCCGTCGGGTTTATAACCGTTAGATCAATTATTCTCGACGATTACATGATGATCTAACGGTTACAAAATCGACGGAATAATTCCGTAACGGGACCATAGCATTTTCCATATTAGTGAGAAAATTTATCGTTTGAACAATCTTATGCAGAGTGTTAAGAGGTGTAAACGCTCGAGCCATTATTGAACCAAGCGTGAGTAATAGAAAATTACATTTTGAAAATTTAAAATGAAAAATGTAATATTTGTTTCTTAAAATATTTTTATGCTTAAATTTCTTAAGTCCACGCTCATGGGGAGTATGATTGGATTGTCCGTAATGATTCAATTTGTACACTTGTTCGATAAGAAATTGTAAAATAAATATAATATAATAAATTAAAACAAAGGTTAGAAAAAGTACTTCAAAAGTTTACATTTGATAATATTGATTTTATTAAGCATGTTTTTGTGGAATATAAGAATTTACATATTTATTATTTTATTACTCCAATAATTAAATACCAATTACGTTGAATCGCTTCATTTTATTTCAAATCAACTTTCAAAAGGACAAATAAATTTGAAAATTATATTTTCATATCAAATTTATTCGTAAAGCTTGTTATTATTATTATAATTTTTATTATTAATTAACTAATTATTTAACCAAAAATACACCATAGTTGTTATTTTTTCAAAAAAGAAGTTTCAAATCAAAGTTGTATGATTTGAAGCTCCAAAATATTAATATTACCTATTAAAAGTGATTAAATTTTACTTTTTTATTGTTGTTAATGAAAATAAAATTACAATATTTGTTAGTAAAGTGAAATCTTTTAATTGAGATTAAAAAAATTGTTAATGGTAAGAGAAATCATTCAATTTTAATAAGGCTAAATCAAAACAAAAATAAGATATAAATATACTATTACATTGTTATAATTTTTTTAGGTAGGACTTTAACCCACCCAAGGCCCAATGTAGCTACGTTCCTGTATGGAGCCATCAGATTGTTTTCTTATGGAGTCATCCACCACTTAATGTATTGACATCTGTCTAAATTGTATTTATTGCAGGACACGTGTCAATATACTATTGGTGAATAAGTGTGGATGACTCCATAGCAAAACTGCAATTAGATAATTAAGATTTAGATTAATTTTTTTATTAAGTCACTATCATAAGATGTAATATTACTGCAAAGCCTTAGTTAATCTAGGCTTGACCGCTATTATGCAATAATCATGAGTTGATTTTTTTCTTTTTAGAGCATCCACAATACTTTGGGTCTCTTGACAAAAAATCACATGCCATGTAAGAAATAGACTTAGTCTATAAAAAAATGCTTCCCAATGCAATTAAAAGTGGACATGGTCTAGCTTATGTGACAATAAAAAAAGAGACTAAGTCCACACTTGAGTCTATTTTGGACCCAAGTACAAACTCAAACACTAATCATTTATTCCTACTTTAATTTTTCTTTTAATAAAAAAAAACATATTAGATCATTTTTATTGGTTGACATATATGCTAGACCTAGTATTTTTATTTTTACATTGCAAAATTTTTGAAGTTTTTTACTTGGGTTTGTCCACGTCATTTAAGATTCAAGTCCAATTATATGCCACATATACAAAAAGAGACCCAAAGCATTGTGATGTTCTTAGAAGTTATGATCCCACTGTCAACTCTCACGCACGGGACCATGCGTGCATTGTCACATAGTAACAACTTGGGAATTTTCTCTTGTTTTGGGATTATTACGCGAAATTGTAGACGAGGAAAAGTCAAAAACACAAAAAGTTGGCATCATTCCACACAAAACAAAAGATTGGTTATATTTTTTTATAAATTATATAGTTTTATTAGAAAAATATCATATTTTAAAAAATAAAATAAATAAAAATATGACATTTATTTAATAATATAAGATACATTTTTTGTTCAAATAAAAGGAAAAAGAAAATAACAACTGATTCATTGCCATCTTCGATTAAACTTGAAACATGTGCATCGATTTAAATGACCAGTATCAAACTAGCAACCGCAGCAATTTAGTTTGAAAAAATAAGAATAATAAAAATAAAAAATATTAATCGTCGACAGCAGGATTCGAACCTGCGCAGGCAAAGCCCAACAGATTTCGAGTCTGTCTCCTTAACCACTCGGACATATCGACGCAATTGTTCAGATTTAATATAAGTTATTTATCACTCTTAATTATGATACTACAGGCCCATTCGTTCCAAAATTAGCTGGGCCTTTTGAAATAGACTAGGCAATATGTAGCCCATTTAATGAGACAAATGTTAGGTCCCTTTGTCACTTTCACTAGAGATGAAATCGTGTTTGCAAACTGGAACTTTTCAGAGACTGCATAGTGTTATGGTACAAGAAAAACTTAGAAAAATCTTCAAACCAATGAGAAATTAAGACTACTAAAATGACTTGCTGGAAAATATGAATTTTTACTGCTTTTGTTGAAGAAGTTAATGCTTCAAGTTACGAGTTGTCGCCACAAGTTTATGGATTTTTGTTGGTCGTTTTATTCTTTCCTTTTGAGCCAAATGGAGGATAAAACCTATGATGGTGATTGAAATTCTTGATATTACAAAAAGACTCGTGGATAAAAAATAAAAAAATAAAAAATGCCTGCTTTTGTCTCTACTTAGCTTTTTTCTTGTTCCCATCAATAGATTCTATTGGCACTTACTTACTTACTGAGCCACTGACATTACACGTTTTACATCTATGGAGTTAATCCTCTGCTTTTTCTCTGCATTACTTTTAGATAAATCATCATCATCATAAGCTGTATTAACTCTGTTTAAGAATGAATTTCTTTGTCAAAAAAGTTGAGGGTGATATATTTGAAGCATAAAGCAAACACATCTACAGTTCTTATTCTCATTCTCTTTCAGCTAAGAACAACTTTTTTCCATCTCATCATAAGTTTTTTATTGCAGCAAGATATTTATATCATCACTCTCTAAAAGGTCACCCTTTTTCACTCACTCTTCCTAAATGGCCTCAAGTCTTGATCAGACCTCAGCTTTTCACCCGAAAACGCACGATGGGCTCGAGTTCTGGCAGTTCATGGTTGCAGGCTCGATAGCCGGTTCGATCGAGCACATGGCTATGTTTCCAGTCGACACCCTCAAAACCAGAGTGCAAGCCATTAGCCCTTCACCCAAAACCCCATTGCTAAACCTCAGGCAGTCCCTCAGCTCCATAATGAAACTCCAAGGGCTGTCGGGCTTGTACCGCGGCATCACAGCAATGGGCCTTGGCGCTGGCCCGGCCCATGCGATTTACTTCTCTGTGTACGAATCCTCCAAGAAATTCTTATCGTCCTTCGGAAGCCCGAATAATAATAATGTTGTGGCCCATGCGGCTTCGGGCGTGTTTGCTACTGTCTCGAGCGATGCTTTTTACACTCCGATGGATGTGGTTAAGCAGAGGCTGCAGTTGGAGGGAAGCCCGTATAGAGGAGTGTGTGATTGCGTGAGGAGGGTATTTACGGAAGAAGGAATTAACGGGTTTTACGCGAGCTATAGGACGACGGTTTTTATGAATGCGCCTTTCACGGCCGTGCATTTCGCGACTTACGAGGCGGCCAAGAGAGGGCTGAGCAGCAGCAGCTCGGAGGAGAGTTTGTTTGTGCACGCGACAGCTGGCGCGGCAGCTGGCGGGCTGGCCGCGGCTGTGACCACTCCACTTGATGTTGTTAAGACTCAGCTGCAGTGCCAGGTGAGGGTAATTGTAACTTGTAACATTTTTAAACAAAAAAATTAGGGAGTGCTATATATTTGGATTTTGTGTGTGTGTGTGTTCTCCAAATGTTATTAACTTGCTTTTGGATGATTTTTAGTGTAAAATGGATCCAAAAAAAAAAAAGCTTTGCTTTAGAAACGGGTACCCGTCAAGAAGTGGTCTTTTATCCGTGCGAAAAGGTCATTTCTTGATGGGAGTTCAAGGAAATGATCAAGTCGAGGTTTTTTTTGTACAAATGGCTAAAAAGATTATAATTTTATATGAAGGGCTAAAAAAGATGGTGGTTTGGTTCAATTGTGCAGGGTGTTTGCGGATGTGATCGCTTTTCAAGTAGCTCGATTATGGATATGATACGGACGATCAAGAAAAAGGATGGGTACGGTGGACTGATGCGTGGATGGATTCCTCGAATGTTGTTTCATGCTCCAGCTGCTGCTATCTGCTGGTCTACCTATGAAGGAGTCAAGAGTTTTTTCCAGGCTAGGACTTGAATTGAGAAGATGATGCACATAATAAAACAATATTACAATGTCTCAATAATTTATATCTTAAAATGAGAATAATGTGTTACTACAATCTTCAAAGTCCATTTTTTTTCTTCAGTTATTACAATTTACACCAACCGAGCACTAAGTCACTTCAGAACTTGTCGACCCCTATACCGTCTCGATAAACCTCGTACACTTGCCGGTTTCTTGTTCTCCTAATACCCGCCGTGAAATGGAGCTTTGATTCTTCGGACATTATGCACGAAACCTTGATCCAAATGATCACTTTTGTCTTCATCCCCTCAATCTCGGACAACTTGCCTTTCTCCAAGTAACCCGTCACCACTGTAGAGAAACGCACCATCGATTGGTCACGATAACATATTTCGCACACGGATGGGATGTGCACCGTAAGCCTTTTTGTGCTCTCCTCAAACTCATAGTTGGTGGCGTCACGGGGGAATATTCCTACCGCCAGGTCATATTCTTTGAGCAGCTCTGTTAGGGGCCTCTGCACTTTTCCTGAACAAAGAATAGTAATACAATAGATTTCGTGCGAAAAAAAGAATTTGTTTTTTGGAGCAAGATACAAGAGAGGGGAAATTAAATGAAGCTGACCTTTAACCTTGTTGACTAACCATTTGGCTCCTCCTTCGATGCTGTTCGACAATGACTATCGAGCGCAAAACACACGAAGAATGAAGATTAGTGTATCGAACGAACATCAACAATGTAAGTTTATAGAACAATGATTTATCCAACTATAATCGGGGCAGCGTGTGACTTGCAATGTTATGGTAAAAAAAATGTTCTGTCAAATTCAAGACAAAATATCTCTTGATAAGAATGCAGACAACATTAAGCATAAATTTAGAAAAATAAGAATAATTCTTTTGAAATATAAAAACAAAAACTGACATTTCTAACAAAATCATATATTCAAGCATTCACAAAATAAAGAAAATAAAAGATACATGGATCTTACATTGATCTCATTGCCAACAGAGCTAATTTGGGTATTGGCTTGTTGACCCAGCCAATAAGAACCCACCTTGCTCATGACCATATCCATTGTCACAATGATTTGCTTCTATGTAATGTAATGGATGACAAAATCTTTCAAGTTTGCAGAGCTAATTTTCCCTTTTTCTTTTTCTATTTTTCTCTATTTCTGAAGTCCCAATATTAGAAACCCAGAGCCTCAGAGAAGAGAGAGGCACTCATTCATTCTCCTTTGCGGGTTTTTAGCACCATTTGCGGTTCTCTTCATTTACTATTCACCATCACAATGCATGACCCAATGGTATCGACTTACGAAATAAATCAATTATGAATATAGATGTTACTATAAAGAGTGTCATAATTTAATGATGTATAGTAATAAAATATTTTGCTAATATACGTAAATGTATATACTGTACATATTATTTGAAAGATAAATTTCTTGAAGAATTTTAATTATAATATTAATTAATAAATTTTAGTCCGTATAAAAATGAAATTTATATTTTAATTTTTCTTTAACAATTTACTTATTTTCTAATTCTAAAAAAAAAATGTTTGTGTATAGATTGTTTTTAAAAACAAAAATCGACATATAGTGGTTTGACAAATAACCTAATTTATCATTTTAATGTTCGATATCTGTGCCTGGAATAATTGTTTTAAATCTTTCAAAACTATGTATGATAAATATGCCAAAGATAACATTATTATACTTTTTATTATACTAAATAATTTTTTATTTAAAGACTACCTAACTTATCTGTGTTGGATCTTGTTGTGACTCGTGTTTAATTCCTGAAGCATGTTGAGCTTGGCTAATGAAGGAGAGATTAATAATTGTAGTGGAGCAAGAAAAATGAGAGGTTCTGATGGTGCAAGAAATATATGATTATTAATCATCTTCGTTCAGATTTGAGTTGGTCTTAACATCGGAGTAGTTTATTTATTTCAAAAAGACAAAAATGAAGTGGACAAAAAAAAAAAAAAAAAAAAAGGGGTAGCCCAAAATAGAACACCCGTATTTAGCAAATACGTTTTTTTAATTTTTTTTTTTAATGAAAAACGTATTTAGCTAATACGTCCTTAAATTAAATTTGTTTAATTTTTTTAAAAACATATTGCCGAAAAAAGGTATATACAATTTTAATTATAAACCGTATTTAGGAAATACGTTTTTAAGAAAACCCAAATTGGAAACCCTAAAGCCTAATTAAATCAATTTTTGTTTTAAAAAAAATAATTTTTCAGAAAACGTATTTCATTAATACGGTTTTTAACAAATTAAATTAAATTACAACGTATAAAGTAAATACGTTTTTTAATATAATAAAAATGTAAAACGTATTACTCAAATACGTTGTTTAATATAATTAAAAAATAGAAACGAATTTCATAAATACGTTTTTCAACAAAATATAAGTAAAAAAAATCGGGTCTCTCCTCCACTTCTGCGAACAAAACTGCTGCGAGCAAAAAAAAAAAAAAACCACTTCCGAGCAAAACCAATTTGTTTGATCTCAAAATAAAAAAAAAAAAAAAACTTTTAACAATCAATCGATTCGGAGAAGAGGTTAGTATATAACATAATATAATGTAATTACATATTTTTTTTTGTTTATGAATTTGTAAGAAATATTTGTTGGTTTTTTATGAGTATAGTTTAGAAAAGATTTATTGTTGATTTAATAGTTGTGTTAAATGATTATACATTGTTCTTTGATGATGGATATCGGTGTATGTTGAGAATTTTTGCGAAAATTGGATGATTTGTATTGTATTGTTGGATTATGAGAATTAGGGTTTGGAGAGTTATTTTATAAAAGAACATTTGATTTTTATTTTTTTTTTGTTATTGTAGTATTAATTGGAAATACTTATGTTGAATTGAGTAAAAGAATAATTGAATTTTTTGGGAAATTATGTG